GGATACTGGAAACAATGGAGGTGGGGAGAGGAATTGAAGCAAAAGTCTGCCTGAAAAAATCTTGATCACCCACAGGTCAGGAGTCAGCTTCCAGTACAGGTGAACAAAATAGGACAAATGCACCCCTACTGGAACAAAAGCCACTAGATAGTCACCAGAACTGTTTGTGATGATGAATATGATTATATGAATATGAAGATAAATCAAACAACAAACCAACAGACCACTAGAGGAAGGAACAGGCAAAGGATGGGAGGGTGAAGGACAGGAAACAGGTAAAGAGGATGGTATAGGAGCAGACTGAGATAAAACTGCAATAAAAAACAAAGGGTTGAGTGCTGCCTTACAGATTTTACCCGACTCCAAAGATTCAGAAATGTTTCCAAAAATAGACCTACGGAGAAAGGGAATCATCCTCAGGTCACGAATATATGTGAAAAGTAGACAAACATGAGACAAAACAGCATCCCTACCAAGGAGATCCCAACAGCAAAGAAACCATGTGTGAAGGGATAGGATAGAGGAGGACAATCACACCAACGTGGAGGAAATGAGGGAATGGTTATCCTCCAAAAACCCCTAAGGAGATTGGATGAGAGCCTCAGAAAGGAAGTGTATGGAAGGTACCATAGGAGAGATGTAAGAGTAAGACAAAGGCAGGAAAACTGATATTGGGATAAACATATAGGATTATCAGGATCTGCTCCTCACACAGGCAAAAGTAACTCTAGCTGATGGGAGTCGAGAAAAGGATGATTGGCCTGACAGTAAGGCAATGCATAATGATCAGAAGCCCATGGTGGACAAGGCATGCTGGCACCAGCCCTCAATTGAGAAACGAAATGCTCAGCATGTACCCTGATATTGGGAGAAGGAGGGAAGACAAGGTAATCGAACGATGGGACAACAGGTAACAATGAAGAGACAGGATCATATGAAACTGGAGATACATATAAAATGTAAAAATCCTCTTTGTAATGAACAAGTTCTACAGGGAAAGGAGGAGCCTACATATTGTCAGGAGATGAGGGTCAACTCAATGGAAGGTCAATCTCCCGATGATTGATGGCCAAAAAATCCGCAGCTGAGACCTCCATTCCTGATACCTGTGTCATGACACCCAAAGTAGTAGGAACAGAGGTTGAAGTCATGACACAAAATTCTGTATTCATAATCGTCCCTGAACAAGTCAATAACTGAGAAAAATAGAAAAATAAAAACAAAATAAAGGTAAGTTTACTTAGCTATAAACTACAGTGAACAAAGTGTAGAAAAAAAATAGTAGAAACATTAAAGCACTACTTCCCAAAATGAAAGAAATTATCATGCAAAATCAGCACAAATTCAAAATGCCTGCACTAGACAACTGCCTAACGAAAAGTGATGGTTAGGTGGAATCGAATAGAGGGAGTTACAAGCATCAGGAGGGTATGTTGCACTCCTATTGATGTAGGGTTGTCTCATGATAATTTACATATGAAGATGCAATGAACCACGTTGATTGTGGGGTAGGTGGGAGTTTCAAGACTTGAGGCATGCAAAATAATTTTGCATATAGAGGGCAGCACTGAACAAGAAAAGCTATTATGTTTGTTTGTTTGAAATTAAGCACAAAGCTACACAATGGGCTATCTGTGCTCTGCCCACCACGGGTATTGAAACCCAGTTTCTAGCATTGTAAGTCTGCAGACATACCACTGTGCCACTGAGGGACAAGCTATTACATGGGTAGAGTTAAGATCATATCAGAAGTTATATACTGTTAGAACATTATTAGCCCACTTATTAAATTCTGACAAACACAGTGAAGTGAAAAAGTTATTCAGTAATTAACATTTTCTTTGGGTGAATAAGGAATAATGAATTTTAACTTGCTGTAACTTCTTTTCAAAGCAATCTTAAGTTATCATAGTCTTGCAAACAAGCAGGATTCTTTTTAAGAGGGGGCTCAGTTTAAATCCAGAAAAAAGGAAGACCTAAACAAACATAATTTACAAGAAAATAACATAATATTTATGTTATAGATTAAAATACTTACCGTTTTAAAAATTATATAAGATCATTCTTTATTTTGGATTATTAATGTTAATTATTTATAAATTTATCTCAATTTATTTATATTTTATATTATATCAAATGTAGTTTTCATATATAAGATACATAACACATCACATAGAAAATCTTAAGCATCATCATATAATAAATACACAAGTTGCAGAATAACTGTTTTTTTACTAATCCTAAGAATACAAAATATTGAAATATTTATATTATTAATCTCAAAGAGCCTATATAATATTTTTGACAAGAAAATGACAGATTTTTTTCTTTTTTGTTATAAACATTATTTAAAAATAGTTTACTGAAAATCAATCTAAATTAATTGAGCTTTAGGTATAGCTATACAGTATGCAAAACAAGACATTACTTACATCAGTATTATTTTTTACAGAAGTAGGTTGGATTTGTTTGTCAAACAAAAAGTATGCATAGTTAAAAGATTTAAACAAAGCTGCAAGTGTCTTTAATATATGTTATAATGGTTACCAAATAATAATAAATAAAAAGTGTACTTCTCTTTGTTCAGATTAGAGATAAGTATTCAGCTATCTAAATATGACTTTTCCTAGTATATAACTTTTTACATTCTCTAATGAATATAAAGCTGGTTATGTAGCATGTAATAAACACATAATATATTAGGTTAAAGCTACACTATTGTTTAGTCCAAACAAAGTAAACATGAATCACAATGGCTAGTTATTTAACCAATGGCCACATCCTTACATTCATAACTTGTGTACAAACATAACATATGCACAACATCACATCATGGAAGTAGTACTAATAGTACTAAAAACGTTTGTTTGAGTTATGGCTACTAAGTCTATCTGCTATCATCCCTTATTTTGAACTCCCAGCCAGAAATGTGGCAACTGTCAAATCTTGGACTACTCTTTTTACCAAGAAATAGGACCATCACATTATAATGCCCCAGGCTAGACCAGTGGAAGTTGCCTCGTGAATTGAGCAAAACAAATTTGATACCTGGTGCCACCAAACATGTTGACCCTTTCAACCATAAGAAAATTATAATGTCGAGTCAATCACCTACCTCTACTGGAATCTAATGTTCACCTAGTGACCATCAAGGAACACTGGGATTTTTTTACAAATTGATAATTCAGGCATGATCATGAATATTCATACTAGTTGTATAAAATAGTTAAAATTATTATAAAAGCTGGCTGCAGGGATGAAATTTCCCCAAAAAACTACATTGATAAACCTTTTCTGGTATCTTGTTGCCATTCATTTTCACACCTGTTCCATATAATTCCTAATGATTGAAACAGTAAGTGAATTAGAAACAGCATGTTCCAATGGTGTTTCAGTTTTTTATTATATATTTTTCATTTCATGTTAGGTGATATTGTAATAAACATAATTTTCAATTTGAGAGGGTGTCCATAAACATGAAATCAAACACACCACTTTTCCTGGAAATTCATGTCAGCTGAAAAATATTTGAATGATAACAAATGACTTTAGTTTTCTTTAGTGGATTGGGTTGACCAACATAGCCCTTACTGTTCTCAACTTTCATGCTATATCTGCAACCCATTACTCATGATTCATTTGTTTTGTTTTTCTTTTGTCAGTGGGTTTTTTGCTGGCAAACATTTAACAATGGTAAAAAAACAACAACAAAAACTAATTTCAAGCCTAGAGTGTGAATGATTATATACAACAATTGTATTTGAAAGACTATGAAATAAACTACTGTGAGAGCATTATATCACTGACAAATTGCTGTTGAAAGCCAAAATCCCTTTTTATAGTTTCAAGTGTTTGGTCAGAGAGTTCAAACTAATAAGTGTCAAGATGACACACAGTCATACCCTAATAAAAACTACCAACTACGGTCTTAAGAAAACAAGTTTGTGATTACTGTTCAGACATCTACGAAATGTCCAATGATTGTGAATAAATTATTATTTTTCTAAAGGTCAAATCATCAATTAAAAAACAAGAAATACAAGGAAAATTTATATATCAATTGATACAACTTGAAAATTTTAGGGACAAATGTACCTAATGAAATCATCAGACTAAAACCAGTGAAAACAGATAATGAAACCATTTATGATCAAACAAACTTATTAGCAGTGATAGCCTTACAGTTACAAACTCAATGGCAAGCCTGCTACTAGTAATATAAGTATTATTACCAAAACAAAAAGTACTAAAAATATGATTATAAATGAAGTTTATTATTAGTAGGAGGTTGTAGTCTATGTATAAATCTTTGATGAAATCCCACTGAATCTTTTAAAGTTTTAATCCAAATATCACATCAATGTTTATAATTAGTAGGAGGGTGTAGTCTATGTATAAATCCTTGATAAAATTCCACTGAATCTTTTAAAGTTTTGATCCAAATATCACCTCAAAAGTATTTTACAGTGATGTACAATAAAGCCGAAGCATGAAAACTTTGTAATTACATAAAATTAAAACTATTCCACCTTGTTTCCTAGAAAAAATTAAATCCATTTTTATTTTTTCCAGAGTAACTTAACATATACACAAAACATTGTCTGTAAACCTTTATTTCCAAGCTGAATACTTCACTTCATCAAATCCTTTTTACGACTGTTTTGTTTTTCTAAAATTAAAAATAAGATTTAAAATACCATGCTCATCATCCTAAGTATTAATATTATTACAACTAGAGCAGATTATTAATACTAGTACTAAAGTATAGCATTTAAAATGTTACTTCACTGCCGTGAAAGAAAACAAATAATAGATTTTTTTTAGCCAGTCTTGAAAACTAGTTTATAATTATATTTTAAACTCTAGGCTTTCGTGCTTCATGTGTGGTGTCTGTGTCACCTTAAAGTTACAATGTTACATTGAACATGAATTATATGCTACACAAAGCTCAGGCCTGAATTAATTATTGCACAGTGTCAGATTTACACAAATTTTTCTACCTGTAGCATCTAAAAGCATTTACTATACGTTGAAAATGTTTCTTTTCTTCAACATCCTCGACGTCTATTTCCAAACCTTCTGAATTCTCAGCCATAGTTACCAAATCTGATAATTTCAACGAAGATTAGTTACTGCTTGTTACGAAAGGGTTTGGATGGAAAAATAAAAATAACAGAAAAATGCTAAACATCATATAAACTACTAAAAGCTACGATTGAACGAGAATTATAAATGTTACAACAAAAAATAAAATAATGTCAACAATGCAAACGCACAATCACACTAGATAAAAATTATTTATTTCAGATCATATATCTGCGGTAAACAAAAGTTGTGTTAACTAACCATAATGTTTTGGGACAACATAAGACCTATTGGTCCATCTTGACTGTACCATCTTCTAAACTACAGTTACTAAACTATAACTATTAGAGTTGTCCTCAGGAGATTGTTTTCTAGATGCATGTTTTAAAGGAATAATGCACCAAATTAACATACATATAAACTTTAGCTGCCATCTTAACATTTTGATTTTGGTTATACTCTAGTAGCTTAGTTCTGTCTTTGGCGAGTTCTTTTATGTTATCTGATGGAAATAATGTAATGTCCATTCCACATAAATATAGTAAATCATTTTATTTCTTACTTTATTGTTTATTTAAAATTGAATATTTGTACACTAGCATAAATTACTGTAGGCCTACGTTAGAAACAACGTAAAATATACCAGCGATGGAAGATAGTCAACTCACCTACTGGTTCACTCTAGAAATCACTCTAATACTCTTAACTATATCCTCGACTATCTTTCAACTCACTCCCTGATTAACCTAACGACTCTTTATTGTGTTATAATAACATAGCGTTGTGTATCTGGTCGTTTGTTAATTTCCGGTATAAATTCTTCCCGAGGAACTTCAGCGATACAAGTCCTTTCTTGAATAAAACTATAACTTTGCAATACACAGAATTTCCACTGTCACTTTAACTTAAACACACGCTATAATTCACAACGATTCATGCACTTTACTTAAGGTCACTACCGCTCGCTTGACTTAATTATCTGTCTCTATATCTCTCTATCTGCTATCTATCTCCGCTTTATTTTCCGGACTTATATACAATAAAATTGGGCGCCTACAAAAGACTAGAGTTGCCAAGAAAAGTCAAGATCCTTCGAGAATCTCATGACGTGTTACCAGCGTCATGTGACTTCCGCTGTCGTAACACTGCCCCCTCCTTAGTATTGTTCGTCTCAAACAATAGCCACTCACATTAAACCAATAGATAATTAACAATAACTTAACTAAATGTACAAAATTTACAAACGCAAAATTAAAATTCAACAAAGTCTCTTAATTTTACGGGATGTATCTTCTTCCGCACTAGTCTCCATCTCGTTGACTTCTGCTTTACGTGGGGTTCATCTGCTCCATCAGGAATTGTCCTATTATCGGTAATAGTCATATCAGTAGTAGTAACTTCATTAAGGGCTTCACTGTTTCACTTCTCAAAACCGGGAAGAGTTTCTTCTTCGACAGTGGCTTTTTCAGGTGACACGTCTTCAGCAGCATCATTTGTTCCATTGTTCACTTTGTTCCAACTGAAATATCCAGGACCGTCATAATGCCAAAGCCTGTTGGCATGCGCCACCTTTGGCTTACCTCGCCAACCACATTTTATTCGAAAAGTCACGTCTGAGAGACGATCCACTATGTCATATGGGCCTTCCCATGGAGAAGACAACTTAGGAGACTTCCCTTTGGTCTTCCTGGGATTATACAACCACACCTTGTCTCCTGGTACAAAGCTGACTTCAGCAGATCTCTTATCATAACATAGCTTCATGGAATCAGCAGACTTTTCAAGTTTGAATGCACTTGATGGTGAATATCATCCATCCTTTCAGATAACACTTTCACGAACTCTGATAGATTTTCAGGCAACTCTTGAAAGGGTGGGCGTAAGGTTATCAGGTCCACTGGCAAACGAAGTTCTCGACTAAAAATCAACTTTGTTGGAGTGTATCCAGTGGCTTCATGCTCTGCTGTTCTATAGGCCATCAACAGTGGAGTGAGTAAGGCATCCCAGTCATCTTGGCAGCTATTACAAAACTTTGCCAATTCTTGTCCAAGTGTCCAATTGTAGTTTTCT